CCAGTACAGATCCGCCTCCCAGCAGAAGACTTTTCTTCTTAATGAATTACAAGACCCTAAGTCTCCATCATCCTGTCCATACTGTCACAGGAAAACTCAAATCCAGAATTGATTTTATGGCTTCAGAGACTTGATATAGGAATGTAAAAATGTAGCAGTGCAGTCAAGAGATTCACTTAGCTGAAACCACTTTTCCTGTGCTGAGTCACAACACTGAACTCAGCAAAAGTATTTTTGCAGTAACTATACCCAAGTCTGGATAAAGGGCATCAAGAAAGCCCATGCAATTACACTGAAAGGCTAGTTTCCATAAAATCCTGGAATTGGGAGACATAAGGTTATAATTTAACAGCTTTACTGAGACATATTCAGGTACCCAAAACACCATTTTAAAGTGTATAATTCAATGTTTTTTTAACATATTCAAAAAGTTTTGAAATCATCACTATTATCTAATTCCAGAACATTTTCATCACCCCCAGAATAAACCCTGCACTCACTCGCAGTCACCACCACTCCCTCCTTTCTCTCTTCTACCCCATCCTTGGCAACCACTAATCTAATTAGTTTCTATGGATGTGCCTAATTCTTGACATTTCATATAAATTGAATTATATGTGGTCTATGTGACTGATTTCTTTAATATTGTTTCAAGGTTTATCTATGTTGTAGCATGTATCAGTATTTCATTTATTTTTATTGCTGAATACTGCTCCGTTTTAGAGGTATACTGCACTGTGTTTATCCCTTCATCAGTTGATGGACATTAGGGTTGTTTCCCACGTTCTGTCTATTATGCATGATACTGCTATGGATATTCATATAGTTTCCTTTGGGAACATCTGCTTCCAATTCTTTTGAGTATATACCTAGGAGAGGACTTCCTGGATCATATGGTAATACTATGTTTAATTTTCTTGAGAAACTGCGTAACTGCTTTCCAAAATGGCTGCTTCATTGTACATTCCTACCATTAATATGGAAAGGTGTCAATTTCTCTATGTGGAATTCCAATACTTGGAACTTTTAGTTTATTACTATTGTAGATATTCCTGTGGATATAAAGTGCTATCTAATTGTGGTTCTGATTTGCGTTTACCTGATGTTACTGAGCATCTTTTCATGTGTTTATTGGCCATTCATATACAATTTTTGGAGATATGTCTATTCAAATTCTTTGCCCATTTTAATTGTCATTTATGATTTATTTCTAAATTATAAGAGTTCTTTATACATTCTGGATACAATTTCTTTGTTAAATATATGACTTGAAAGTATTTTCCCCCAACCCATGGGTTATCTTTTCATTTTGATGGTATCA